ATTTGATTGCTCTTTCAAAGAGAAGAGACACAGACTAGAAAGTATCAGGAATAATCAGTCCAATAAGGTAACAAAATGTCTAGCAGTTTTCTCCATTGTATCTATTGTGTGTCAACATCACTCTGGGCAGTGACTGTCGAAGAGAAAAAGCTCTGTCTGTGCTTGTTCTAGGTGGTACAATGAAAGTAATTTAAGACCTAAAGTTTGAAGAGCTAAGTGGGGTGTGATTGTAAAATATGGTGAATATTTAAAAACTTTTATAGATGTTTTGCCATGAATTCTCCAAATACACTTCTCCCTTTGAACATACTTATTTTTATTATGAGGCTTGGTGGGCTGGAGGGTGTGTATGAGCATTTGGGATACTTGTCCTGAGCTCTCCAGCCTGCCCTGGACAGTTGCTTTGGGCCCCCACAGCTCAGGATGGGCCCTGGGGTGGATCAGAACTTGAATAAAGACAGTCACTAGTTATTTGTTTTTAAAGAAAAGTAATAGGCCATTGTACTAGGGCAAGAGGATCACAAGTTTGAACCCTTGCCTGGGTAACTTACTGAGATTCAGCATAAAAAATATAAAGGGCTAGGAATGTAGCTCAATGAGAAGGCCCTGGGTTTGATACCTGGAGCCAAAAAAAAAGCAAAAATGATGGACTCAGCTTTTGATGTGGGGGGGGGAGTATTCTGTGACTAAGTGGCAATGTATTTTACTGCCAACAGCTTTTTTTATTACTGCAATAGCGTAAAAATTTTTAATATTTACCATATTATTTTGCTCAGAACTTGTAACAGTCTTGAAGATATGTCCAACACCCTAATGAAACTGAGTAAGGAATAACTCACACTCCATTAAAAATGGAAAAGAGCTGGGCATGGTGGCACATGCCTGTAATTCCAGTACTCGGGAAGCTGAGGCAAGAGGATCACTGTGATTTCAAGAGCAGCTTGAGCTACAAAATGAGCTCAAGGCCAGCGTGAACTGCGTAGTGAGACCCTGCCTCAAAAAGACCAAAAATAAGTAATTTCTGTCAATCTGACAACGTATTTAGAGTTTAGGGAAATCACTTGCTAAAAGATTGGGGTCTCTTATGCCAAACGGTCTTTGCAGTATAGAACAACGATTTTAACCTAGATCTCTGATGACTACTTGAATTTCAGGAGAGTTAGTAGACCCAAATTAGACACACACTATGAAACTTAAGGCAACTATCCTGGGAGATACGAGATTTGCTCCTGAAACTTCCTGAAATGTATTGGGTAGCAATTACATATGCATATGTGCTAAGAGTTGGATCCTAGGACTCATGTGAGATTTTCAACCTACCAATAGCAGAACAGGTGTCAGTTTATCAACCTGGTGAATTAACGGCAACAATTTTGGCAACTATGCCAGTCATCAGAAGGTTATATATTGACTGGGATGCTGAACTTGGCAGCTTTAGGCATTTAATATGTTCTTTCCCCTCCTCAGACACATGAAACCTCTTCCCCTGCCTTTATCCTTGTATCTCACGTGCACCTGGGATCTTCCATCCTGTAGAAACCCAAACAACATGGTAACACAAGTAAAACTGTATTGATTTTTTGCAGTGCTGGGGACTGAACACAGGGTAAATGCTAGACAAGTGTTCTACTATTGACATACACCCCCAGTCCCAAAAGAATTTGTTGCAGTTGTTTTTTGAGGTTCTTGGTTTATACTGCGGGCTGGCCTTGAACTATGTAGCCCAGACTGGCCTCAAACTCACAAGAATGTGCCTCAGCCTCCCAGTTCCCACGATTTTATAGCCACGTTAGCTGGCAAAGATTCCTGAAGGAAAGAAACAGATTTATGGCCATTTTTGTAAAAATAAGGCTTTATAAAACATTGGCAATATAAACAATTACAGTGAAAAGTTACCAACCAAAGTGGTGGTTGAAGGAAATTTTTTTAATATTTTCTAACCAGGAACTTTTTTAGGAATTCTGGTATTCAAACCCAAGTAAAATCCAATTTTACAGATCGAAAATGTCATTTCATTTTTGAAGAAATCTCTCAAGTTTGCTTTTGTTTTTTTCCTTTTTATTGGTACTGGGGATCGAACTCACAACTGCCTGCTTACAATGCAGGCGCTTATGCCACTGAGCTAAATCCCCAGCCCCCAAGTTTGCTTTTGTTAAAGAGACTTTTGAGAACAAAACTAGAACTCCAGGAATATACAGTACTTTATGGAATCAGTATATTCTCAGTTATTTTGTATTAGGTATATATGATTGATGACATTCATCATAGGAATTTATACCTGTAGAAGATACACCTTGATTTTTCCTCATCTCCCTACTCTCCCTCAACCCTTCTCTCATTTACGAAAAGCTGTTTGCATTTTTCTTTTCTTTTTCTATTTCCCTCCTCGCTTAGTTCCTCTTCCCATTTGAACATTTTCTTCCTATTTTACAATACCTATCATACATTTTGGTCCTTATCTATACTGTTTCTTACACCAGAGAAGCAATGTGGTATTTACACAATTTATTTTGAGTATTGTCTTGAGGTGCATCCATTTACCCAGCATCTTAGGCAAAGTCTCTCATTATTGAGAGAAAATACCTGCCCCCCCCCCCATTAAGGAAGAAAAAGTTTTGTTTCGCTCAGTTTGTGGAGGTTTCAGTCCATAATAAGCTGGCTCCAAGGCTGGTGGCATGGCACAGGGGCAATACTTCAAGGCAGAAGACAGCAAACCAACAAGAGCAACAAGGGTTAAGAGCAAGCCTCTTTTCTTCCCTTACATTGTAATGGGCGAGCCTCCTATTGCAGGTGTAGCACTCACACCATTCCATGCCCTCCTGTTGCGCAGAATGAAGATGTTTACAAAGTAAAGCACCTGGCCCCCTACCGAGTTGCTTAAACTTCTAAACTCAAAAAGTGACACAATGTATCAACTATCATACTTAGAAGTGTCTCAAGCTTTCTTTCTTAGCCACTGATTCAAGTACTCGCTCATACAGAAAGGGAGATGGGTAGAGTAAGTGGACAGAACAGCAGATTCGGCCAAGCCATCTTCCTTCTCTAAACATCTATTTGGCAGAATGAAGTTAAAAAAATGTTCTTTTGGTTCAGAAGTTATGGGTGACATGGAGACAAGGGAATATAATTGAACTTACACACTGACATATTTCAGTTCCTTGAGGCCAGTATATTATTTCTATATATATTTTTTTAATTTTTATCGGTACCGGGGATCAAGCTCAGGACCGCCTGCTTGCAAGGCAGGTGCGTATGCTGCTGAGCTAAATCCCTAGCCCAATATTTCTATATTCTTGAGACATACCTTAAGATGTTCCTGGCTTTGCCGTTAAAGAGAAATTTTTTGAAAGGTATATTTTCCCTGAACATTCAGGCTTCAAATCAACCTACGTTTCCTTCAATTTAGTTGAGTGTATGTGAGCAAAGAACTTCATGAGTTGAGTAGTACCCTGAAATAGTAATGATTTAGAGAGGTCTATCCAATAACAAAGGCAGGCACTATTTAGGGACAGAAAAAGGATGTAAGAAATTAGGCAGACTGGTTACCGTTCAGCATTTATGTTATTTGGACGTTTTGGTAGTTCATAGCATTTGACTGGCTGAAAGTTCAGCTGCTTAAATTGGCTGGGACATAACTATTTGTTATAGGATAGACGTTCTGCGACTTTCAATAGTCGTGTCCTGAGAAACTCCATAGTTAAGTTGAGAATATCCGAAGTCCAAAATGTATTTAATATGTCTAACTACCAAACGTCACAGCTTAACCACATAATAGTGAATCAACGGCTCATTGCCTCTGCCCATCATCAGTCTAAGTATTCTACTGCGTTATCACTAGCCTGGGAAAAGACTGAAATTCATAAACTAAAATACGGATTCTATTCAATGTGTTTTGGTACCATCATGTTAAAAAATTCAAGTCAAACCACTATGATGCAAATATCATCAAAATAGTCTGAAGCTAGGTTATGGTGTACATACTGTTACAGTTTGCCATGTAGGGAGATAATTTGAGATTGTTTAACTTAATATCACCGCCTTTCAATCAAGCTTCTTACTTTTGGAAGAAACCCTGACACTGAAACCACCTTCTGCCACTATCATAAATGGACTTGTTTGGTCTCAGTATGGGATTCAAAAGATAAGTTAGCTGAATGATTCTTCATGCATTCTTCAAGCTTTTATTATGCTAACTGTAATAAAATCATTTTGATGTGCAAAGGACGGCTTCTATTTTTAAGTTTTAAAATTATTTCTGTTGGCACTTTTCAGTTTAAAAAAAAATTCCATTGTAGTGGATCGCTTCATTCAAGAACAAACAAACTAATCATAAGAACTTTGCTTTTAAATTCATGTGATCTACCAGATAACATGTATCTAGTACGTTTAATTATTTGGAATGCTGTAACATTTGGATTAAATTATAGAAGATCACTAAAAAAAACTCAAAGAAAAAACAAGTTACACTAGAATTACAAGGTATTTTTCTACTACAAAAATGAAGTTTTATTTCAAGTAGCCATGTTGTCAGCAAATATATATAATGCATGTAGTATTTGTAAATGAATAGAAGCTGTTAAAATGGTTAAAAGTGCCTGAATATTTTTTCAATATGGTACATTTCCATCTTTATATTTAATATTTATTTAGTTGATTTTTTCATATTTAGTGTTGACGTCAATTAATTTTTACAAAAATAACAGCCAGCAGGTTTCAGATTAGTGTAGATTAATACTGAAACTAGTAAGGACTGCCTTTTTCCTGCCAAAGGCTGGTTTTCTAGACTTCAATGTGACTCCTAAAAGAATACATCTAAAATTCTGTTACATACTGTTCAGGAAATATGCAATCACATTAGCATAAAAGTATGCAACCTAATACATATACAATTCATGAATACTTTCAGAAAACAATACAAAGCATGCTGAAATGTTTAAATGTTTCATTGTAAAAGAAAACAAAAATAAAAAACTGAATAAAATAACCAGCCAGGCTTCATATCAATTAGACAACTTTTACTAAATGAGAAAACTACATTTAAAATGTGCTTGAAAACAAAATGGAATTAGAAAAAAAAGACATAGGCATTTTAAAGAACTTTTGCACTGTGCTGAAAATCAAATTATTTCTTGCAGTAATACAATGCGCCAATCTATAAAATGTAAGTTAACAGAATTCTCAAAGTATTGTTTTCAAAGACAATAGTTAAGGTCAAGAATTTCACATCCATGGTAGCACATAGAAGGGCATTATAAATATGATGTCCATCCCTATGAAGCTCACAAATTTGACAACGCTCAATAAAGGATTTTAGAATCCCATCTGACAATGTCATATCTAAGAATCACAAATCTGTGTTCTAGAAGTTCTCTTAAAATCTTTATGTTGACTTTTCTACTTCTTGCCATTTGTTAATGCTAACCCTTAGAGAGAGAGAGAGAGAGAGAGAGAGAGAGAGAGAGAGAGAAACAGGAAAAAGAAATGCAATAAACTCTTGATCATGTACAGAAATTATTGCTACTATAGCTCACTACAAAGCATATCTATACAATATCGTATGACCTTTGATAATGAAAAATCAGAATAAAAATCTTTAGTGACACAGCCTTACAACTGTATACAACATTCACATGGCAATATTAGATAGTGAAGCACCCAATACCCATGGTTGATAAACTGTCTCAACTGATCAGAATTCATTAAATATATCCTTCGTATAGAGGGAGGAAAAAGAGATAGTGTCAGCTTTCCAAGGCTTGTCAAAAAGGATTCTCATGTCCTGTGGATCTTAAAACAAACAAAACAACAAAAACCCAAAAAACAAAATCGATGCAGGTGAAGGTGTTACCAGAAAGTTAAGCATGCCAAAAGGTGTTTCGTGCGAATTAAAACCTAAAGCCAAAGTACCACGTAATCACATTACCAACTAGTTGGGAAATACTATATGAGCATTATCTTTAAGTTAAATGAAATGCTACTGCACAATAGAGCATCAATAAGTTAAAAATTAGAGTGCACAAATCCAAATCAGTGGCTATTTTTGTAAAAAGCAAAATATTCACTATTAGGTATAAAGTTTGCCCAGTCAAACTGATTAAAATCACTAGATTGGACTGTCTGCACAATTTTTAGAAGTATCAATCTTGAGAATTTCTTTTTCCTGTAATAATGCGTAAGTTGTTTTATTAAGATCAAAAAGGTACATAAGTAGATAAGCAAAGGAAATGGTGAGTTGAATACCTTTAAAGCTCTTCCACATTTCATTTTTTAAAATGTTTAGGGGGAAAAAAATAAAATAGTTGCCATTATTCTAGCAAAAACAAACAGAACAAAACAAGCTCAAAATAATTAAACAACCAAGCAACACTAAAACCACATTACACAGATGGATCATCATGCTTTCATCTGGTTTAACTATCACATCTAGTTTAACTGGGATGCTTTTCAACTTTAAAAATTTAGATATGTGAAGGTGTAATTTTAATGGATAATTTTGAATTTGGATTTAATTTTATTGAGCATTATAACAGAGTATACTTATTACAATACAGTGTAGCACATCTTTCTATTAGAAAAAAATTTAAGATCCTTTACCCGTCTCCTTAAGTTAAAGGTGTGACATCATAAAGGGTGTCAAATGGCTGGATGGTTTTACAGTGCACACTTATATATTATGAAGTATGTCCTTAACAAAGCTGATGGTTTCTTTGTAGGATTCCTTTCTTCACCTTTTCTTCGGTGGATTAGCTGTTCGAGGTGGAGTGACAGGGCGTCCAGAATTCAGTCCACCATACTGGTACTTAGCTTTCTTTTCAGATGGTTTCAGTATCTTAAAGTAAATTATTTGTAATAAACAATGTTATTCTTTCAATAAATAGCATGAATTATAAAAGTGCAATAAAAATGTAGAACAAAACAAAATTCCACAAACATTTCACATTTAAAGAATGTGCAACAGGGGTGCTGCTGGTGGTAGTTCAGTGGCAGAGCACACAAGCAAGGCCACTGGGTTCAATCTCCAATACTGAAAAAAAGGTGCAAAGTATCTGAAAAACTTACTATTACATTAACCTTTTTTAGTAACAAAAACTAGATTACATTAGCCCTATGACAACTACCCAACCCTTAAATGTACCCCTCCCAAGTTAGCTGTATCTCCATTGTGAGGAAAAGTAGTTTAGAGACAAAAAACTTACGATCTCATTGTAACTACACCATTTGTTTAATAGGGTTAGTAATCTGTAAGTCATGAATTCTTCAGACATGTTTTCTATGTACAAAGAGGAATTAAAAAAACTTTCCAAATAACTCTATCCATGTATATTTCATGCCATAAAGTTCACTTACTTATTTACATAAGTATGAAGATCTATCATCTATCCATTATCGATCAGTCGTTAATCTGAGGGTATCTATCTTCTCTCATCCATTCATCCATCCCATCTACCCATCCATTCTTCTGAGTCAGGGTCTTCCCATGCAGTTCAGGGCTGGTCCTGAGCTCACAGTCTGTAGCCCATGCTATACTCAAACTCTCAGGGATCCTCCTGCCTCAGCCTCTTAACTGCTGGGATTTCAAATTTTAGAACACTCTGTTCACCCTTAAATGTTTTTAGTAGCAGTCACTCTCTGTCTTTCCACAACCACTCCCAAGTATTAGTTGATACCTATCAATTTTGTGTCCGTAGATCTGCTAATTCTACACATTTCATGGAACTGCCATCACATGACTTCAGTGACTGTCTTCTTCCACTTACATTTGAAAAGCTCTCCCATGCTGTAGCATGCATCACTACGCCATCTCTGTTGCTAAAGTATATTCCACTGTATGAATAGGCCATATTTTAAAAAGTGTTAATCATTCAGATGGGCTTTGGGGTTGTTTCTGCTTTTTGACTATTATGAATATTATAAACATTCATGTACAATATTTTTTGTGGACCTATGTTTTCATTTCTGTAGCAGTGGAGCTGCTGGACCAAATAACCATTTTGATAAAGAGTCCAACTTTTCCAAAGCAGTTGTACCAATTTACATTTCCTTTATCAACATATAAAGTTTAGAGTTATTCTACATCCTTGCAAACAGCTGTTACAGTGTGACTATTTTTCATGAGTGTAGAGCTTTAATATACATTATGAACACAAAATGTCATAATTTTGTAAAAAAATATATAGAAAAGATGTATGAAGTATTCCTTAAATGGATCTGGACATAGCTCAGTGGTAACAGTGCTTGTTCACCAAGTTTAAGACCCTGGATTTGATCTTTGGCCCTGTGGGTTTGATCTTTTGTGTCTTTAGTTAAACTCTGTGGCTGCCTCAAAAATAATTCAAAATGTTCATCTCTCAGGCTTGGACTTTGGGGCAGAACCAGATGTTGCAAAGTACCAAACTCAGAGAATGAACCTTTATGTTTTTATGAACCTGCCTTTCTGTTTAATGGCATTTGGCCGCCAAGGTCACTGTAATTTGTGACTGCACCCTGGGAAGACACTCAGGAAAAAGGACTTCTAGAACTGTTTCTGAAACTGGCAAGAACAAATGAAACAGGTGTGCTTGAAGCAAAGAGGAGGATACTCTGAGGGGAATTAATGACAACTAGTCTTTTACTGTAATAAATTTTTAAAAATTTAAACTTTCAGCATATATTCTGATCACGTTTCATAAAGTTAACAGCTGGCCCTGCATATCCATGCATCTGAGAATTCAACCAACTATAGATTGAAAATATTTCAGAGAAAAAGCATTGGTACTATATATGTACACTTTTTTCCTTGCATCATTCTCTTAGACAGTACAGTATAAAGCCAATCCACACAGCATACAGCCTCTTTGGCATGGTAAGTAACCTAGAGATGATTTAAAACATACAGGACAATGTATATAAGCCATATGCCAGTACTATGCTGTTTTATATATAGGATTTAAACATCTTTGGATTTTGGTAAAGGACATAGTGTTTGTGAACACAAAGTACTGAAGTTGTTTTAGTCAATGAACCAAAATTATTTGTAAACATACAAAAGACATAGCTAATACCTTTTCAAAATGTAAATGTTTCTATTTTTATAAACAGGTACTTTGAAGATTTGGAAAGTTTGCCTGGCAGCACGAGGTTGTGAGTTCAATCCCAGGTATGAAAAAACCAAACCAAACCAAACCAAAACGATTTGGAAAGTTTTTTCTTAAGTACATATTCTACTTTATTTTTATCTGCGTTTATACTACAATCTCCTGCTCCCTGCCCCTAGTTGATCCCATCAATTCATCTTATAACAACAAAACTCTAAAATTGTCCATTGCATTCACTTTCTTTTAGCAAGTAAGCCACTATGCAACAGGTCATAGAGGAATTTAACAATTTTGACATCTGAATCAGGAACAACTAACACAATTTAGGTTCTCCAAAACTTTCTATTTATATACTAAAAAGAGCTGGCTGGAAGATTTATAACTTAAAACAAATTTCAGTAAGATGTGACACGTAGTAAGTTTATGGCCGTTTAAACTACATTGTGACACCCATCTCAAAAAAACAAAAAACAAAATCTACAGTCTAAGTGGTAATCATTTCTGAATTACAACTGATACTCAATACTCACAGACTGCGCATCTAAAAGAATTACTCTGTTAATAGCTTTATAAAGAGTTTTAGTTTGTATAAGTTTATTACCTGAAATGAACACATCAAAGTTTCATCCACACTCATCATGCCACCAGCATTGTCAAATTCGCCACAGTAATTTGGGGCTGAAAATAGGGTTACCAATTGTCGTTTAGCGAAAAATTCATAACCATCTTCCACTACCTGCAGAAAGAAATGTTAAAAGTAAAAAACAGATAATTCTCAACTATCTATACTAACGGGGATCAATGTAGCAGAGGTCTAAAAATTCCATTGCTTAGAATATTAAAATTGATGTACCTTTTCTATAATAGCAAGAATGTAGTTAAATGGAATAATAAATTTGTTATGAAAAAAAAACCTTAAAAAATACACCATTTTCAAGGTTCCCCGTGAGACAAACAGAAGATACACCAATATACCTACAGCAAGCACAGGGAGCTGGATGGGACACTAAGTATTTCTTTGACAAAATCGTGTAGTCCCCAAAGTTAAAACAAGCATGAGAGGTGAACATTTTGAAGATAAGGACTTTGAGGCAGCCCCAAAAGTGTAACTAAAGGTACAGAAAAGATCATACCCATAGGGCCAGGGGTACAGCTCAGTGCACAGCACCTGCCTGCAATATTTTTTAAAATTTGTCTTTTTTGAGATGGAGTCTCGCTATGCAGTTCAGGCTGGCAGTTCACTTTGTAGCCCAGGCTGGTCCCGAACTCCCAACAATTCTCCCACCTCAGCCTCCCTAGTGCTGGGATTATAGGCGTGAGCCACCACGCCCCGGCTTAAATTTGTCTTTTTGAGACAACAATGTTGTTTACACTGGCCTTGAACTCACTTTGTAACCCAGCTGGGTCTGAACTCTGGATAATCCTGCTGCCTCAGCCTCCCCAGAGCTGGGATTTACAGGCATGTGCTACCACACCCAGCTGGAATTCTTAAATGAAAAAGCGAAGAGCTTTTTTTCTTGCTTTGTATTTTTAAACTGTTAGTATATTAAAACACTGAAATACTGAAAAACAATGGAAAAATTATTCAGTTATACAGCTCATATTTTTCTGTTTTTTGAGGCCGGTAGGGTCTGTTACTGTGTAGTCTGGGCTAGTCTCAAACTTGTAGCTATCTTCCCACCTGCTGAGTGCTGGGATTACAGGTATGTGCCACCACACCTGGCCATATCATACTCTTTTAAAATTAGCTGACATAGGGGCTAGGGATTTAGCTCAGCAGCATATGTGCCTGCCTTGCAAGTGTGCAGTCAATTTCCGGTACCAAAAAATTGACACAGCCAGGCATGGTGGTGCACTCCTGATTGCACTCAGGAAGCTGAGGCAGTAGCATTATTGCAAGTTTAAGACCAGCCTGGGCTATAAAATGAGCCCAAGGTCAGCCTGAACTGCATAGTGAGACCTTGTCTCAAAAAAGACCATAAAAACAAAAGCAAAAACCTCAAAAACTGCCAGACCAAATTATTATGTAATTCTTTCCTTCATACACTTATGCATAATGATTTTTAGAATCTATTGTTACCTAAGTGACTTAATTTATGGTTCTCAGCTCCACAGATGCAAGAGACAGGCAAGAACATGTAAGCATGATTATTTTTTGAAGCCTATCTTAGGTATCATTTGGCAAGCAAAACTATATTGTAACGAAAACAGCACCTCCAAAACTGTTTAGTTTTAAAAATAATTTCCACCTTAGTATTGGGAACATGCTTCTTAAAATTTACCTCACAGTACAATTTAGATAGTAAGCTTTTCAGTCAAGACTGTAATCACTTTACCTCACTTGGCAGAGTGTTTGGCACTTAGAAATGTTTCTCAGTTTTGCTTATTCATTTTTTTTTTTTTTTTGGTATTGAGGACTAAACTCATGACCTCATGCATGCCAGGCAGGCACTTATGCTGCTGAGCTAAATCTCCAGCCCAAGTTTTTGAATTTGTGATTACTAGAGACAACACAATTAAACAGAATACAGTTTTGGAGATTTGTGGACAAGACCATGCCAATGAAGGTAGTTCAATGATGTGATTTCTTAAAATAATCATTTGTATGTGAAAAGACCAGTGAATGAAGATCATGGTTGGAAAAAACATGTGGGAACTTTAGTTAGAAAATTTGGCAACTTTGACCTGGTATGTAGCAGAACACTTAATTATCAAATCATACATATGAAGCTCACTGATTAAGAAAGCAGGTGAGATATAAAATGCAGAAAACAGGGCCGGAATTACAGTTCAGTGGCACAGTGCCTGCTTGTGCAAAGAAATAAAAATAAATAAAATGCAGAAAACAAACTATTCATTTTGATTTGTCACTTAGGATCACACAAAGAGTGGCTCATGACTGTAATCTCTGCAGGAGGACCAGAAGTTTAAGGCTGGTGTATACAATTTAGTGAAAACCTGTCTCAAAAAACAACAGAACAAAATAGGGTGAAGTATGTAGCAAACAAAGTAGTACAATGCTTGTTAAGCTGCTTTAAGAACTTAGGTTTAGTCCTCAGTAACACATATCACACACACACACTAGACAGAAGTAGTCAAGGGTCATGGGGAGGGAGTAAAGCCTCCGAGAAAAGGTAATTAAATTACTGTGAACTTTAGTATATTTTCCTTTAACATAGAATAGCAAACAATCTTAAATATGCTTATAAACTTCAAAAACATAGTAACTTCCAATGTTTATGTTCAGTAGAATTTTTTTTTTTGTACCAGGAATCAAACTCATGACCTTGCACTTACTAGGCAAGTGCGTGAGCCCCTGAGCTAAATCCCTGGCCAAAATGGTGATGTTTAGAAATGCCTTCCAATCAGTGTACCTTATACTGATTGTTTTGCTTGTTTTACAAAGCCTGAACATTTTATGTCATAAGATGATTATGTATTTGCAAAAAATGGACATTCACACCTGACAATGATTTTATCACAGCTAAAGTGATTAATGATATTCTGATGTTACCTATGACACAATAAAATTCCTCAACCATCCCAAACATTTCTTATGGTTTGTTCTGATTAAAAAAAAAAAAAAAAAAAAAAAATCAATGCTTTATGGATTAACCTGTTCTCAATAATAACAAAAAAACCTAGATCATGCCTAGAAAACTTTATCAAAGCACTGATTTTAGAACATTTTGTTATGGTTCTATCACACTATACTATGAAGACATAGTCTTCTGAAATACTACATTACATAAGAAAAGAGTTAACAAATCACTGATTGAAAGTGTAACGTCTTGGTACCCACGACTCTATCGCTCACTGCTTCTTGTGTACAAATCAATTTTGTTTCCTCAAAAATAATATGAGAGGACTATGGGAAGTTAACAATAAAATATCCAAGAGTCTTATGTTTCATACCTGATGAGCTCGACAAATCAAGTCTAAATCATGACGATTCAGAAATTTACTGACTACATCAGCTCCAAAAGTGAAGGAAACACCACGATCATTTTCTCCCCAACCTTGCACATCCTTATCTGGGTCAGACCACAGCAAATCACAGAGCAAACCTGTAGAAGACATAAATAAAACAATAAAAATGAAACAAAATGTACACAGTAAAGCATATCTATATCCCATTCTACTTCTTCCCTCTTAGTCTGATTAAAGATTAAAATAATAATAATCTTGCCTTCAAATACCCCAACTTATCTGTCTTAACTATTCTTTGTTAAAGCAACCAGACAAATAAGCTTGCCTGGCCTCTTAAGGCAGTACTTTTCAATACTTTCTCATATAAGAAATACACGCACGGCACACTGTGCACAACATACAGAAATCCTTTGTATGTAGTTTCTTCATTTAAATAGCCAATTGATCCAGCACCACTTCCTGAGTAATTAGTTCATCCTTTTCTTCTAGAGCTACACTAATTCTGAGCACTATAGTCTATTCTATTCATCCTTCAGCCATTGTCACACTAGAGTTTTCAAGTAAGTCTTTAGGCCCAGTATCCCCACTTAATTCTTCTTCTTGGTTACTTTGAATCCTTTGTTCTTCCATATAAACTTCAGAATCAGATTGTTTAAGTTTAGGAAAAACTCAATTGTAATCCAGTAGAACTGTATTTGATCTATAGGTAAATGTGAGGAAAGAAAACATTTTCTACTGAGGGCTGAAGAATTAAAAAAAAAAAAAAACAAAAACAAAAAACAAGAACAAATGTGGATGAAGAAATCAGAAATCATATTACATTCCTGACTTTATTAATGCTTTGGGCCTAGGAAAAGAGGTCAGGACTAGAACTTACATGGTATTTTTATCATATTAATAGAAGAAATCTCAGGAAGGACTTGGGACTACTTTGTCTAAAGACCAGTAAATAAACTCTAAAAAAAAAAAATCCAACATTTAATAGGCAGGCAGAAGAGGGAAAATGAGAAAAATTACAGAAGAGGAATATTCAAATCAAGGGGAAAAGGTTAGCATAATGGTACTGTGAAAGGGGAAAGACCTGTCAATACATAGGAAATGACATAGCTTTAAGTAGCAAAAAAAGGGGAGCAGGACAAAGACCTGTGGCACCTCTAATTGAATAATCAGATCTTAAAAACACTCTTGATGGTTTAAAAGTGAGTACATAAAAACTGAACTGTAGTGAGATAAGAGAGAGAGACTGTGATACTAAGTAAATTTCCAAGAACTATAGCGGTTAAAGATCTACATGTTTTATAGAATGAATCAGATTTAAAATTTTAAAAAAAGAATTCAAAGCCAGGCATGGTGGCGCACACCTATAATCCTAGCACTAGGGAGATAAAGGAAGGAGAACTGCTGAGAGCCTGAGGCCAGCCTGAACTACACAGCAAGACCTGGTCTCAAAACACACCCATGGGGCTGGGGATTTAGCTCAGCGGCATAAGCGCCTGCCTTGTAAGCAGGTAGTTGTGAGTTCGATCCCTGGTACTGATAAAAAGGAAAAAGACAAAACAAAACAAAACAAAACAAAAAACCACCCACACACACCCATAAACTTCCTAAAATAACTTAGGAGAAAAGGAGATTTTAATTTTCAGTGATAGTCTGTTCAGTTATAGTCTGTCTTGACAGAATTCTTCAATTAGTGGCAATGTAGTCTTAATTTCTATCACTGATATTTCCTAAACTGTTTTTTAAGAAATTCACCAGCACATGGAAAATCCATTGGGGGACCCAATTCATATGTCCTTTCTGGCTGAAGATGACTGAATTTACACACCCAGCTGCTATTATGTTTATACTTCTCAGTTTCTTTCCAAAGATGAAGCACTAAGCCAAAAGGCCAGTGATTAGTTATCTATAATTTCACTGTGACAATAAAACTGCATGAAATTAGAATGCAGGGTTTAACATTTGGGAAAGCATGACATGAGCAAGCATGATAACATGTTAGGCTACTGTTTCAAAGAATTCATAAATTAAATTTCTGAAGGCTGCACAGAACAAAGATCAATAACTACTTTATCCATTCTCTGGCATCTCAGAAACTTTCCGTGAAGTTCATTAAAATGCTGAAAATAAAAACCTAGTATGGTCACCTCAAAACTGACCTACAGAAATACAACCATATATAAATATAAAACTACACAAATGTACAAAAATTCTATGAATATACTGCATCTTTTAAAAATGCTACTTTAAATATACTATTCTATTAAGTTTAAACATACTTAGTAATAATCATAATCAAAGTCTATGCCAAAAACCCTGTTTTCCCTCTTGTATAACTGACACAACTTATGTTATTTATGCTGTAAAGCAATTTATTACAGCATGCAGATCTGGGATGCCTTACTGGTATCAAAAGAATAAACAACTACTATATATGTAGCCATGAAGAGCATTTAAAGTGGTATCATACGACTTTCAGTACATCAAGTAAAGCAGTCCAATAACACTGAGGACCATCATCTTATACGTTACAGGGCATTTTTTCATATGTAGTATATTTCTAACATGTAACAGAATTGAGCTCTTCTACTACTTCTACTACTTCAGACAATTCCTAGTACGAACATATTCAGATTTGCTGAGAACTGATAAATACTATACATAAAAGGGTCGATCTGATGACACACATGGACAATTTAATACAAGAAGGTACTTTTGCTTTTAAAAACTCCTTTGGCAGAAACTGGGTGTACTGGTGCATGCCTGTAATCCCAGTACTTGGGAGGGCTGAGGCCCTGTCTACAAAACGAAGTCTTCTGCAGAAAAAAGAGGAGGGACAGTTTTATTCACATCAGTGTTTTTAATAAGGTGAAGATAAGACATAATAAAAGTGTATCTATCTTTGTTTCCATTTTGTCCTGGCACACTCCTGCACTTTCTTCAAAGACGAGAGTGTCTTTTATTATTTGTTACAAGTCCCTTTCTACGACTGGCCCTATGAATACAGTGATTCACACTACGATCTCTGGAAAGCTCCAGGATGGGATCTGGTCACCAGAAACATTGAATATGATAGAGTTCTATAAAAAGACTCTTGAACACTGAGAACTGGTGAGTGCTGGTTGGTAGTGAAGCTTCGGTGTTGGGAAGGAAGCTTGCCCATGGATAGTACAGAAGCTCTGAGTTAGCTGCTCCCATGACCTCCCAGCTCCATCTCTCTTCTATTTGACTGTTTTTGAGTTTTAACCTTTTAACGAACATGTAAATTATTGAAGGAAAGGATTATGGAAATTTCTGAATTCATAGTCAGCTGGGCAAGGTAACCTAGGGACACCACTGGCAGCTGGCATCTGAAATGGAAGCAGTCTTGTGGATTGAGCCCTTAATCTGTGAAGTCTCTCCTAAACCTGGGTGGGAGCCGAATCAGAACTGAACTACCTATCCCAATAGTATTGGAGAACTAGGTGTGGTTTGGGAAAATCACACGTAGTGGTTGGTGTCAGAAGCCACACAAAAAGGTGTTAATGTCTTAAGCTAACACTAAGTGAAGCAACTATATTTAATCCAGCAGGTCTTCATGGCATCTTATATGAATTCCATAATTAGATACCTTAGTATATATGCTACTCAAGTAAAAGTACCATCATTTTAAATCAAAAAGTTAGGCTAAGTGGTAATGGCATCTATCATTTATTTATAAAATTGCATTAGGCTCATTTGTTAATAGTGTTTTATCCTCAGCTGTACTTATTTTTCTCCAACTGCTTCACTATTTTCTCCAATTGCTTCACTTTTTTCAAAAAATCTCACACATAATTATCATATAGTTAACCACGGGACTTTAGAGCCTTAAGAGTTCTAAAAATATGAAATATAGATGATGTAGAACATAAAAAAAACTACATAATTTACAGGAAAGCAGCTGGAAAAAAAAGGAGATGAGAGGGAGGGAAGAAAAGTTACTTAATTTAAAATATCTTGACTAATTTAGCAGGCAAATGCCAATATGAGTGACAGAATTTAGATAGGAAAATAAGCAGAATCCACAGTAGTCCTTACGTGTAACAAAATTAGTTTGACAGACTCATACTACGGTTATAAAACAATTAAATTTCTCTATATACTTGCCTGTATCAGGGACATCAGTGGGTCTCATGATTCTTCGAATTTGCTCCATAGATTGCAGATCTGGTGACAGTCCTATTAATAAGAATAGAGGATTTAATCCTGATATTTGACAAAACATGTCTTCTCTGTCTTCTCTAGCAAGAAAATATAATTCTGTTCTACTTCAAGATTTTCCAAAGAAAGATCCCCATTATTCTCTTCTCCTCCCTCCCTGCCCTTCAAATACACAAACAGACTCAGCTGCAGTACTTTCCATTACTTTTTGCTATTTTGTTACCCCTTCATGTAAAACATTCCAAGTTAAAAGGTCTCAGCTGGTCCTCTCCAGCATACCCATTACTTAACCAAGGCATTAAATGGTTGATCAGGATAAACAAGAAAAAGAACATCAATATACTTTAGAATATTTAAAGTGGTACACGTATACGAGCCATTATTACTCTCTACTGGTAATCCAAGCACCATAAAGAACACAGCTAACACTGGTATTTTGTACTGTTCTTAGCTATACTAACATGCAGTGCCTTAAATGTTTACTATCTACTGGAAAACGTTTCAATTAATACACTGAATTATGTTCTGTAACCCTCTGTAACCCTCTGGACTAATAAAGTGCATGTATCTTTTCAGCGTTTTTTCATTTTAATTCCATTTATTAATGAAAAAAATTTCTTGTATTACTTTCACTGAATTTTTTCTATACAAAAATCCAACATGATTATAACATTCAATAAAGTTGTCTTGCTACCTATTCAGATTTCTACAATGTGATCTCATCATTCCCCAGTGTGCACTTGATAGTCTAGTCGGATCAGTCCTCCCATTCTCTAGAGACTGTACATACTGTCTCATTTGTTCTTTTCATCGCTCTAAAATACTTACTTCTATATAGTAAGACTGTCTCCAAAAAGAACAAAAAACAACAGAAATAAACAAAAACCAAACATACCCTCTTCCCTTTCCTGACTTCTCATAATTGCTATCTGTGCTTCCATAACTAAGTCATAATTAAAACTTTATTACCCAGTGTAGCTATCTAGCTATTTACTTATATTCATCCATCCATCCATCCATCCATCCACCCACTTATTTATTTTGAGATGGGGTCTCACTATGCAGTGCTGGCTGAGAGTTCAAGGCCAGCCTAAACTACATAACAAGACTATCTCATGAATGAATGAATGGTCTTTAGTGAGTAATGGAAGAATAGCAAGAAAAACTCTTAAGGCTAATTTATTATTTTACCTCCATGACAACAGAAGATCTTCTCATCCACAATGGCAGCTATAGGCAGACAGTTAAAGCAATCAGTGAAGGTCTTCCACAATTTAATATTAAATCTTCGTTTACCTATAAAAAGAACATGCAAATAGAACATAAAAATTTAAAATTGTTATTATTTCAAAGCCACAGAATTATTAACTATTTCAACTTTCTTTTGTATACTTAACTAGCATTTGTTTTCTGTATGTGAAGTAAGCTGTAAGAATACACTATATTGGAAAAAAAAAATGCATCATGAGGACTGAGAAGGTAGTTCAGTGGTAAAACACTTGCCTCACATGTTTGTGGCCCTGGATTTGAATCCCAAAATCTCACAAAAAGTTTTATTAAAATACTGCTGGGTACAGTGGCATATACTTGTAATCTTAGCATTCAACAGGCTGAGGCAGGAGGATCACTGAGTCCAAGGCCAGCTTGGGCTATAAAGACAGTTCATGGCCAGCATGGACTACACAATGAAGGGCCTGTTTAAAAAAAAAAGAAAAAAAACACCAAAGAAGGAAAATATTCAGCACCTTTGGTAAAGTTACACTTGGAAGATTACGGTATGTTTTATGCAAGAAATACATCAAATGATTTTGTCTTTCAAGATCACTATTTTTTAATTCTTTTTTTTTTTGCCTTTTTCCTTTTTATTGGTACTAGGGATCGAACTCACAACTGCCTGCTTGCAAAGCAGGCGCTTATGCCGCTGAGCTAAATCCCCAGCCCACTATTTTTTAATTTTACAGAGAAAAATAAAAAAATTTCAAAACAAGATAATAGAAGGGTAACAATGGTAAATACATTATGTATTGTTATCTCTACTCAGAGTATGAGATACAGCGATTTAACTTTGCAAATGGTATTATCACAAACCTTTCTTTTCAATGAACTCAAGTAGTAGTATCTTGTGTTTGTGTGTATACTTATTTTTTGCTATCCCCTTTTCTTCGTTCCCTCATTCCAGTATCTCTTTCCTTTTGAACAGTTTCTTCTCATTTTACAGTTTCTATTGCATGTTTTAGATATCTTTCGTATCTTTCAACTTCTCACACTAGGGAGTTAAGATCACTATTATAAAGCAATCCTGAAATAATCTAATAAGCTATTATTTTTCCTTGAACATGCACACTAAATATCTAGCCAAATAAATGAGTAGAACTAAAATGTGTACCTTTGGACACTATCTTTTTAAACTATAATGCGTTAATACACTAAAAACTTACTGGTAAGATTCACTTTTCAGATTTACAGTTATAGCAAGTGAAAAGGTATAGAAGCTGTAATTTTCTTGTAGCGCAGCTTAAAATAACTACAACGAAGACAAAATGAAATGTATGTTCACCTTTATAAGGAGTCACTAAATTTTTCTGATTTGGCATCAAGTTCAATTTTAGTAAGCCACGGAAACAGGTAAAAGACACAAGTCCTAATTTCCTATGTTTTTATGACACAGCCTGTCTCTCTCTTTTTTTTTTTTTCCTTTTTATCGGTACCGGGGATCGAACTCATGACTGCCTGCTTACAAGGCAGGTGCTTATGCTGCTGAGCTAAATCCCCAGCCCCCAACACACAGCCTGTCTCTTAATGACTCAGTACAACTCCAAGTATTATTCACAAGCTGCTCCTCTATGCACTAATTCTGACTGTCATTTCTATCTTGCAGCATATTCATACCCTTATTTTCAACCTTTAAGAATATACTGTACCTATATTGTGATGTACTTTTAATAAGATGATTACAGTTTCATGTACTTCAACCCACCTTTTCTCTGCAGATCTGATTCAAACAATTCTAACTACATACTGTAACACACAGGGAGGGATGAAGAAAAAGAACCAATAAAGATGTGTTACGTACATATACCAACTACCACCACATGTGGTGCTGCACATCTGTAATCCCAGCATTTGGGAGGCTGAGGCAGGAGGATCGCCACAAGTTCAAGGCCAACCATTTGCTGTATACTAATTTGGAGCCCAGGGTGAACTACATAGTTAGATCCTGTCTCAAAAACATAAAACAAATGTACCAACTCCCCATAATAAATGTAATTTATGTATCATGAACACATACTAATAAAATTTTTTCTTAAAAAGGAAACATACAATGTATGATCAAATGTAGAATAATTTCCATTAGAACATAAGCTCTATGAGAACAGAAATCACCTGTCTTGAGTACTGCCGCATTGCTAGTGTTCAAAAGTGACGTATATACCACATCTTCAAACATTTTTTAAATTATATGACCTCTAGAGTATAAGTGTGATTAGGACTCTACTACATGTAAAGATAGAAAAAACAGAAGTAGATTCTAACAGGGAATTCCGCAGAAATAAGGAATAAATTCAAGTAGAAAAATTACTGCAAATGATTCTAATTATAACTAACAGAACAAGCTTGCTCACATGTGAGCTAACAAAACTAGAAAATCAGTTTGAATGTAGCAGGGTAATTTGACAAACTCTGAGTTTTAAACAGTCTTAGTAGAAAACCAGAAGCCAATCTATAATGATCTCTGCTTCACTAAGAAATTTTTACTAGGCAAACTAACTAAAATACAGTTCTTCAGTCAAGTAAGCTGTAGTCAATCTGAAATAAGATCAAGGAGATCCCAGGATGCCAAATAATAATAATGTGTTTTCCACTTTCAAGCCCCCTCTGCCTAGGGGTTGTTACTAAATGGAAAGGAATTAGAGAATTATACAATTTTTTTTCATCAACTACTTTTCTAAGTTTTTTTTCACTTACATTCATCATAGAATCCATAAATGCGATTGATGCTAGCACATTCATGGTTTCCTCTTAAGAGAAAGAAGTTCTCCGGATATTTGATTTTATAGGCCAATAGCAAACAAATGGTTTCCAAAGACTGCTTTCCTCTGTCCACATAATCTCCTAAGAAAAGGTAGTTGGCTTCTGGTGGGAAACCTCCATATTCAAATAATCTCAGCAAATCTGTATATTGTCCATGAATATCTCCTAAAATAGAAAAAGTCAGTTTAGAAAAATCAGCTGCTATGAAATGGCTCCTAAAGCTTATATACTACTACACAATCACCTTACCTGAAGTGTAGGCCTAGTGACCTTCTTCTAACAAATCAGGCACAACAAAAGGGACACTGAGTGTAACTTCCAAAGTTAGGATTTAAAAGACTGTGACTTTTAAAAGACTTGCTTGTATCACACCTTCTTCCACAGGTGCTGGGTGCTGACAATGTCTTACGGAAAAACCCACGCAGCAAAGAAGTGAGGGAGGCTCTGGCCGCGAGTTCATTTGGAACTGAGACCATCTTTCCTCTGTCGGAGGGGAAGGAACTGAAACTCCTCATCGCTGGGCCTTCAGAAGACTGTACCCACCCCCCCTTTCAAACCTTGACTGGACTCCGAACCGGGACCCAACAAAGATGGGCCCAAATTCCTGACACACAGAAACTACGAAATGATAAATTAGTGTTTTTTTTAAACATAGAAGTTTTGGGCAATTTTTAAATATGACAAAGAGTAATTAATGTTACTTTTATGGCAGTTCAACTTAGGTGGTACTCTGTTATGTCAAAAAGCAAGAACTAAGAACTATGGAAGTAATTTTTATTACAATCAAGTTATCTCTATGCAATATTTAAAAGAATACCTTTAAGAGTACAAATAATCTCTAACTTAGAACATCTGGACTTAGGATTTGCGACTTCATGATTGTGAGAAAGCAAAATATAGTGAGCAGGAACTGTACTCTGAAGTTTGATCTTTTCTTGTGATAGCAGTATGAGGTACAATACTCTTTTTTGAGATACTGGGCATCAACAGCAGCAAGCTGAAGCTCCCACTCAGCCATGTAATGGTTGATGGAAATGACCAACATTTGTGTACTATGTTGTTAAACTATGCTTTTGGTAGGTTAGGTGAATTTAATTTACAATGGGTATACTGGGATACAATCCCACTGTAAATTGAGGAGCACCTGTATTTTACTTAAAGGCAACATTTTACACTAAATTGCTTAGCAAGCCAGAAATCCTAATCCATTCAACAAACATTATTTATCTTATAATTGCTGGGTATGGTACAACAACAGAACACCAAATACCTGATTTAATAAACTGCAAAGAAAGAGAACAGAAAGTATGTAAGAGACACACTAAGCACTTTAATATTACATAGTACGAATACAATCACCCAAGAAACATTCAGGAAAAAGGATTTCTGCATTGTTTAACCAAAAGCCAGTACAATACATTACTTTTATTGTAACAATGAGCTGATCACTCAATTTAAGGACATATATCTTTAAGTCTGGTAAAAATTCACTTTAAGACAAATATAATCACAACCAAGTAAGAAAACCAAGGATACTATCATGTCAACCCTCAAAATTTTGTGTTGTTTTCTAAGCAGTGCACTAGCATCTTCATTTTTCCATATCCTTAAAGATATAAAATACCAATTTTGGCTTTTTTTGTAATCTAATTAGGAATTTTAATCTATTATTGTGAGGACGAGGCCCTGATGTTTAACGGTTATTTTAATTTCTTCTAGAACTTCCTCTTCCTAGTTTTCATTCTTGTCACTGTCGTTTTCTGATTTCTAAGAATCCTTTATAAATGGATGGCAATTTTTTATATGTTGTAATACAGCAAGTAGTCTTTCTAACCATTTTTATAGAAGTTTTAAATTTTATATAATTTTATTTAATACAATCTATAAATGTTACACAAAATTAAAAAGAAAACATTTTCTTTAAATCATTCTGATTATAAATATGTGAGGGAAAACATGACTCAAAGAATTGTGTCCAACTTTTTCCATTTACCTACCACAAATTTTCAGTGGTGCCTCCAATTCCAAAAGAATAGGTTGGCTGAGAAAGATCTCACGAGACTTGATACATAAACCTCGAACTTCTGCTTCCGTCATCTGCACAATTTTTCCTGGACGACATCCTCGTACTAATAAAACAATGAATGAAATGGTTAGGAAGAGTCATATCTGCATTTTGAAGATCAGAAAAGTCAAACAGGTCAAAAACTACCCCACTGGATCCAATAGCTAACAATAGTAAGGCATTTTATATCTTAGGCTTCTATCTCCAATGTTGCTGGTTTCTGATGATGCTCCTCAAGTCTACTGCCAATTAAAAATGTAGTCTTTATTTTTTTCTCTCTAGGGGCCAATCTGAAGTCTCCTAGCCCAAGACACCTGAAAAGTTTCAGGGACAGTACCCTTGAGCTTTCAGGACAGTACCCTACCCTCTCAGCAAAACAAGTCTTGCATCTAGTAGGAAAGCAAAATAGCATCACTAAAAATCAGTGGCTATAAACACTGATCACAGGTGTGCACATCTGTAACCCCAACACACTGAGAGGCTAAACTAGCAAGACGGCAAATCCCAGCCCAGTCAGGGCAACTTAGGGGACCAAATATCAAAACAAACAAACAAACAAACCAACCAACCAACAAACAAACTGGCTGGGTATGTAGCTCAGTGTGAAGGTCTTAGGTTCAATATCCAGTGTGGGGTTGGGGGAGGTTAAAAAGTAGCTGTGGATTAAGTGTTTTAGCTTCATAACCTTTCCTGGAATTTTAGCAACCACCACCTTCATTTGCTGATTTAACATCTCTCCTCCAATAACTTGTATTCATTTCCTCCCATCTTTATTTCCACCGGCTCATTCCATTCCATCTTTAAATGTACTTTATTAATTCTTAACTGAAAAGGCAGTTAGACCTTTAAATGCAAAAGCTGTACACTCAATACACACACACACACACACACGTTTGTTGTGTTTTTGAGACAAGGTTTCACTGTGCAGTTCAGGCTGGCCTTGAACTTACTTTGTAGCCCTTGCTGGCTTTGAACTCACAGCAGTCCTCCTGCCTCAGCCTCCCAAGTGCGTGTGCTGCCATGCCCAGCTCAATTAATGTATTAATGTAAAAATAACAAGGATATTAAGCAAGAGACAATATACAAATATGCTTTAGCAAATTTGACAATTAATAAAACAATTCCTGAAATTCAAATCAATGATCAGCAAAATTAGCCCTCAAAATTCCCTTTTTTTTGGTCTTTTTGAGACAAGGTCAAATGCAGTTCAGGCTGGCCTTGGGCTCACTGTGGCCCAGGCTGGTCTCTAACTTGCAAACTATTCTCCTAAAAATTACCTACTTCTGAATCTAAGACCAAAAATGAAATTTAGCTTCGTATCTTCTACTAAGCTCCTGGAATATTGGCTTGGCTTAGATTCAGGAACAAGTCTTATCTTAATCTTGGGATTAGTCTTAAATGGGTGAAAGTTTAAAGGGTGGGGAAAGTTTTCATCTTCAAGGATGAAGGATCTCTGGTTGCTTTCAGATGACAAATACACATCTGTAAGTTATTACTCAGTAAAGTTAATAAATCATTCAACAAGTACTTCGAGTCTACTGTGTATGAGTTGTTAGGGATACAGACAAGATTTATTTAAAATGTTCAAAGCTAGACACCATGGGGTACACCTGTAATCCCAGCTACTTGAGAGGCATAGGCAGAAAGATTGCAAATTCAAGGCCATCCTGAGCAACACGGCAACATTATCTCCTTTAAAAAAAGATCACAAATTATTTTGTAATTTCACAGTAATAAAGTTAGGGCTTGATGGTGCTCATTCAAATTAGTCAAAAGGCTAAAGGATCACTTCAATGTGTCAACTTAACCCGACCAAATTATAATGAATATTTTACCTTATACATCTTTTACCAAATGACTAATTATGTATCTCTAACTTTTAGAGGTATAAAATGCTAGCTATTCCAACCCACAAAAACTAAAATTTACCAAATTGTATTTCACTGATTCTAAAATGCACATTTCACTCAGCAGTATCTTTGAAATTATGCCATACAGTAACTGCTTATGTTTACAACTGCCAAGATGGATGTGGTGGCCACACAGCTGTAACCCCAAGCACTCTGGAGGCTGAGGCAGGAGGATCATGGCAAGTTTGAGACCAACCTGGGCTACAAAATGAGTTCAAGGCCAGCCTGAACTGCATATCAAGATCCTGTCTCAAAAACATAAAAAGCAAAACAAACAAAAAACCCCACAATTGGCAGTGGCTTTTTCCCTCTTGATGGCACATAAAATTGCATATCCTAATCATGCGTAGTGTTAAGAGTTGATAAAATCCTTTTAGAGGAACTAAAGGTTCTTCTAAATGTCAAGCCTTTGGCAAGTGATCAAATATAAATGCACAAGCCAAATGTGTAGGAAAATCAAGTAGACATGTCAGAGCAATTCCAATTGTTATTTCTAATTCAAAAGTCATGCTCCCTTGTTCACTTCCAGATTTCAAAAAGCACTTCAAATTTCTCAGTTATCTGAAAAAAGAAATCAGCTGCCTTTTTGCATACATGAAACAATGAGACTGCTATTACAATATTTATAATAGACTTCATCATTTGGATTTAATGAGTCTAGACATAAAGTGTTTCATTGGATTAAGATGCGATTATAAATCTGCATACTTCCTTAGGTTCAAAGCACTTCACACCAATCGTTTCATTTTGTCCCTTTCATATCCCAGGAATAAGAAAGGAAAATTATTATCTCCACTGTACAATGAAAGAATAAGATTAGGGGGCTGGGGATTTAGCTCAGCTGCATAAGCGCCTGCCTTGCAAGCAGGCAGTCGTGAGTTCGATCCCCGGTACCAGTAAAAACGGAAAAGACAAAAAAAAAAAAAAAAAAGAAAGAATAAGATTAAATAATTTTGCATAAAATTGTAACATCCAGGTTTTACAAGATTGGAGAAAATAAAAAAGCAGCAGAAAGGATTCAGAACCAGTGTTCTAACTCATAGGAAGAATTCTTTCTACTTTGTCATATAAAACTTTTAAGATAAAAAATTTCCTGGAAAAAAATTCTAACCTATACATACTATTCTTATTATCAAGCAGAAACTATTTTGAGGTATTATGTAAAAGCAGTATACTAACATTACATGAGTGAATCAATGAATTTTTAACTATTCTACACATAAGTAACCACCCAGGCTAAGATACAGAATGGCAGGTGAACATGGTGACGCACACCTGTAATGCTAGCAGTCTGGAAAGTGCAGGCAGGAGGATCTCAAGTCCAGCCTGGGCGATTTAAGTTACTTAGACCCTGTCTCAAAATAAAACGAAAGAACATGGGCTGGGCTCCATGCAAAGGCTCAGGGTTCAATCCTCAGCCCTGGAAAAAGAAAAAAGCACAGCATTCTTTGGGATGGATGCATTTACGCACATTGCTTATTTACGCACACATAACGTAAGAGCAAAATTCAAGTCACAGAGAAGACTTAGTTTTATTTAGCAAATAGCACAGGTTTTCCAAAGTAGCTACACCAAAGTATAACTTTTAAGCCTTTGTTCATTTCTAAAACTGGACTGACTTTTTTCTCTACTTTTTCTTTAATGAACCTACAATCTTATCTTCATCTTTTGAGGGATTATTCCCTTATGTATCTTCTAGAGGCTTATTGTTTTAGACTATTTCATTCTATAATCCCTCTCAAAGTAGTCTGTCTGAAATAAAAAGTCAGGATCATTCTTTCCCTCACTAAATGACTTTTTGGCAACTTCACAGAAAAAAATCAAGCAACTGCACTCAAATGGACCTGTTTCTGGACACACTATGTCTTCATTACCTCTGTTGCTGAGCCAATATCCATTATCAAAAGATAAAAGAGGAAAGGTTTACTTGTCCTACAGTTTGTAAAGGTGTCAGTCCATAATTGGCTGGTTCCAAGGCACAGTGGCACGTGGCAGAGTGGGCACTGCAGAAGGAAACAGTTCACTGCACGTTGAAGGCAGAAAAAACAAGCAAGGGAAACAAGTCTCTTTCTGTTCTTTATACTGTATCCAGGCGTCCGAGATTAGGGCAGTGCCAAAACCAATTAGTGGGTTGATTTAATAGTAATCACACACCCTTCACCTCAGCATCACACACTCTAGATTCAGCCACTTCTGAAAAAGTCCATCTGTGACCGCAACAGGTTTTGGGGGAACATCTGGACCCAAAGCATGACACTATATAACTGGCCTGGGTCTATCTACCCTGACCCTAAACTTGTGGAAGTTTTCATTGGAAAACAGATGAGTCTAGGAAAAACTGACATCTTAACAATGTCAAGTCTTCAAATTCATGAACTTTGTATCTCCTCTTTTACTTAAATTGTCATTTATTTCAGTGCTGCCTTGTAGTTTTTACTGTCAAGTGTGTTTAGTATTTATTGTGGTAGTCTTGTATATTTTTATTATACTGATTTTGAGGGGCCTGCTATTGTAAACATGTTTTCTTACTGCATTTTCCAAATGTTTGGTGTTTTTTATACAGAAATATAACTGATTTGTATATACTAACTTGATAAGGTATTACAACACTTCACAGTTTTCTTTGATAAGTGCACAAGCATATCATTTATGGAAACTTTTAATCCTTCTCCAATCTTTGAATTTTTAATTGTTCTCTTTGATTCACTGAGGACCATCAGGACAATATTGAATAGAAGTGATGTTTCTAATCCTACATCTTGTTCTTAAATTGGGAAAAAGGCATTCAATATTTCACCACTAAGAAACATATTGCTGGTTTTATACATTTCACCATCTTCCAAAAAATTGGTCTGTATTCCTAGTTTACTAAGAATTTTTGTCATTAAGAGGCATTAAAATTTAGGAAACATTTTTCACTGGGATAATCTATGAGTTTGCCCCTTTATTTTGTTTTTGTGTTCTATCTTGACTTTTCCTTTCTTTGTGTAGTGAGGCAATAGAGACTGAACCCCGAGCCACTGTGCTACATCCTCAGCCCTTTTTTAATTTTTTATTTTGAGACAAGATTTCACAACTAGATTTGTCCAAGCTGGGCTCCTTACAATATTCCTGCCATGATCTTCCACAATGGTTATATCACATGCATCCATTA